CCTTATCAAAACTTAAAATATACTATTAAGTTTTTATAAGCATTTAATAATGATAATTCCATTTTATAGGATCAAGGTTGAAAAATTGGTGAAGGACTAGATGAAGCTGAAAAGCTTAAGTAAAAGAAACAATACTGCTAAAGTGAAAAAAAAAACTTTATAGAAAATATGAAAAAGGTTTTCTGGATTGGAGAAAACCCACTAAATATGATTGAAAAAATAAATAAAGATAGGTTGAGAAACCAAAATGACAAAGTGGAAGACATAGTTTGGTTGAGAAACCAAAATGACAAAGTGGAAGACATAGTTTTTCTTAAAGACCAGTTAACAGAAAAGAAAGGAAGGTTACGGGGATAAGAGATTTCAGTACTCATTAAAAAGAAAGTATAAATCTAAATGTAATTATAATAAATTAAACATTGTATCTGATACTGATTTTGAAAATTCATTAAGTTCTTATAATACCAATAAAAGCAATTCAACTGATAGTGAATTTGAAATTGAGCCGCATATTGATCCTACAAATTCTGTCAACCTACCCAAGGATATCTTGCACCACACTGCTCACGCAGCAGTTGGAAAGGGTTTAGCTCCAAATCAACATACAGCAATTCTTAGCAGTACTATTGTCAATTCTGGTGGATACATGTCTGAGTTTGTATGCTCTAACTCTTCTTCATACAGAGCAGCAGAGAATGCTGTGTTCATGGGTACAAATGAAATCAGAGATCATATAAAAAGCATTTCTAAATCTTCAAATTCTCTGATTACAATTCATATTAATGGAACTATTGTGAAAGAACTTACTGAAGGAAAAAGTTTTCAAAAGATAGTTTAGCTGTTGTTGCTAATATTAAAGGACAAACCGAGTTACAAATTCCAGCAATTGACCAAAAAAAAGCAAAAGTACAACAATTTCTAACTTTGGATTAGAGGAAAAAGTTAAGTGTCTTTGCTTTGATACAACTAGCACAAACACAAGTAAAGCAAAAGGAGCTTGTAACAGAATTATTAAGCACATACAGCGCCTTATATTATTAACTGCATGTCGACACTATATTTTTGAGCGCCATGCAACCCATTTTAGGAAGGAAGTATGACTGCTTTATCCAAGCAGTCATACTTCAGGACCAGAGAATAAATTATTTAAAGTTCTTAAGAACCATTGGAATGATCTAGATACTGAAAATCAAGATTTAAAAAAATTGTCAACTCCTACTTATTCTAATTTATTATTATGGATTAATGAGTGCTATTCAATTTTGCAGATATATAATTAGCACTAAAGTTTTTAAGAAGGTGAGTAATAAATACTTTATAAACTAATTCAATTAAATCTAATTATCCCTTATTATTTCCAAAAAATAGTATAGTAAAGTTGTAGTACTTAACTTATAATTTTCTAGTTTTATAATTTTTTAGTAAGTTATTAAAGTTATTATAACTTAGCAAAAAACTTTGTTTAGTTTTGTAAAGATTATCAGGAATAGGCTAAAATTACATTGATGGTACTGTCACACTGATAGATTTAAACTTCATGATCTTGGAACTGTTCCTTAAGTCAGATTCATGGGTAAAAGTTTATTTTACCTAAAACTGTTTCTACTTATGGAAAAAAATCCATGAAATCAATGAAGAAAACAGGGATAAAATCATTGAAATGACAAAGTTCCTTTCCATTTTTTACACTGAATGGTTTCTTAAAGCGGAGCCAAGTTCAGCTGCTCCGATGCAGGTATGCGGTCTGAATAATTGTTTTAAAACAAATGTACAATTCTGAATAAATACATAAAATTGGTATATTATTTATTTTTAAATTAAACATTGATAAATCTAAACCTTAACTACTAGGATATGAAACATTTGAAAAGTTTGAGGAATCCAATAAAGCTGGGGCTCAAGCTGTTTCTAAATACATAATGCGATATACTTGGTACCTTGATTCATATTTAGTCATTAAAACAATTGCAGATCAGAAATGTAAAGAATATGGTGATATGGCTAATTATCTAGACTGTTTGGTCTAAAAGAACCCCTATAGAGCAGTATTCATAAGAAAAACAGGTGTTGGATAAAGACACTCTGATAAAGTCCTGGCTTGTTTTTGACATGCTTGGTCATGAAAAAGCTGAAGTTCATTGGATGAAGCTTCCTCCAGAGTATTGGATTTTAAATGATTTTTATCAAGAATTTGAAACAGATATCATGAATCTTGATGTTGTGAATTATTATTCAAAAAGAACAGTCAAATCAGTTCAACAACTTGTTAACAAAGTACATTCAGAAGAGAAAAAACAAGATAACTTTTTTTTTCTCATGTGTACAAGCAAAATTGAAATGGTAGAAAAAAGTTAGATCATGCCAAAGCTGCACTCAATAGTATTATTTAATATCTACTTTTTGATTCAATTTATTTTTCAAACGCTTGTAAATTTTGATTTTTGTTTTGTATTCGTAAAAAAAAATTTGTTGTATTCAAACTTTGGGTTAGAGGAAAACAAAATATTTATTGTTTTTAAACAAATATTTTATGTTTTGATGATTTTCAATGTTTTATCATTCTTCTTAAAGTTACCTAAAGAAATATTTATGAAAAGAGCCCCTTAAACTTAAGTTGTGAAATGCATTACCATGTTATTGGATAGTTTGTTTTTTTAAATTGGTTGAGATTTAAGGGTCCGACAAGCAGGGTAAAGTTTTCCTAAAAATGGGGTAAAAATTAACCTTTTTAAAAAAAATATTATCTTGGTTTAAATTGATATTTTTTAAATGGTTATAAACCATTTGGTTTAAACCTATCAACATTGATGAAAAGCTGGCAGAAAAGTGCTGGTGACAGTGGAGAATTTAAAAGATAATAACTATCCTTGTCATGAACTTCGAGCTGTTTTAAAAAGTATTATCACCTCCTTCTGAAAACACTCTAATAGCTATAATAACAAAAATGGAAAGAAAATGAGTGCAAACAGAATGTGGCAAAACTCCAACTAAAAAAGCCTTAACTTGGAGAAAAGAGGAAGTGGCTTCAAAAAATGAAAAAATAAAACTTGTTAAAAAAAGACAAATTTAAAGTAAATGTTATTTACAAAAAAAGAAAATATAAGCATTTTTTATATAATTTTGATACAGAAGATACTTTAAATAAATAAATATATTATCAAAAATTTATTTTTTATGACTTCAGATCTTATGACTTCAATTAAATGGGGTAATGGATGATTTTTTTTTTAAATTTGTTTATATATAGCTCCTTCCAAATATAACTACCATTTGAATTAATATCTATTATGCATTAATGTACAGCAGACAATTTTTATAAATAGATATTTTTGTATTTGTGAAATTGAAATCAATATTTTAACAAGTTTAAATTTTTTTAAATAGTTAATTAGATTTAATTTAATGAAATAACTTGTGAGCTAGAGTTATCTACAAATCATTTTATATTTATTAACAAACTTACACACTTGTTTCTTCTAAAAAATTTTGAGTTTAAATCTTTTTAGAGATTTATTGCTCCTTTATAACAAAATTAGTAGAAAATCATACTTATGCAAATAATTATAATATAATAATAAATTTTTATAATACAATATTAAATTGTGTCAATATTGTATGTTATTTAGTTTGTAATAATAAACTATTATTTAATTTGTAATAATTTTTGAGTTGAATAAAAACACACAGTTCAATAATGATACTAAAATAAAAAACCTGCCTTGGTAATTATTTTTATTTAAAAGACATAAATAAACCAGATGGTTGATTTAAAAAATTCCCAATATCTAAAATACAACATGCCTAGGCTAATTTAAGGAAGATTTCTCTGCTTTAACAGTTTGAAGAGCATCACTAAAATTAAAGGAACTTTTGATTTGTTGTATGTGTATTTTGTTTGATTGTTGTATATGGCAATATAGGTGTAAAATTGGAATTCAAACCTTGGATGTAACCTAAGCACACCCCATTTGTAATAATATTTCAACACTGTTTTTATTTAGAAATCAATCATTTAGAAATTCTTTTTTTAATTATGTGACCCATTTTTTATTGTTGTCAAAATTAAAATTTATTTAAATTTTATTTAATGCACATAGATGTATATTGAACAAATAGGTACTGGGACAAATAAATGTACATAGATCGACTAACAAACAAGGATTGGCACAATTAAATGTACATATATTGACTGAGAAATAGGAATTGGCAAAAATAAATGTACATACATCGACTGACAAATAGAAATTGGTGCAAAAAATATACATGGTTTCGGTCAGGGTCAGGGTCATAGATTAATCAGAAATTGATGCATTTTGCATTTTTAACAGTTTTGCTTTAAAATGTCAACAAAAACCAGGATTTTTTAGTTACCTTTGAACAGGAATTTTTTATAACTGAGTATGAAAAAGATGGTAAATATTAGCGTTTTTTGTCTGATTTTTTATATTTTAACATCAAATTAGAGTACTTTCCTTAAAATTTTACAACTATGTTTTATATGATTCTGAATCAGTATAAGTTAAAGCTGCAGTTAAGTGCCCTAAATAATTTTATTTTTTTGCTTGTTGTGCTCTTGTCAGTGGAGACTTATTAAACATAAAGAATATTTATTAGGATAATAAAAGAAAAAAGATTGCTGCCCCATGCCAAACTCTCAGTTGATGTAGCTACACACTCCTTTGCAGCAGTAGGTTATAAGATAGTCCATGTTTGTACTGAAAATAAATATTCATTATTTTTAAAAGGTTTCCACTGATGAGAGCGCAACAAGCAAAAAAAGAAAATTATTTTAGGCCTCTTAACTGCAGCTTTACCTCAGAATAATATATTTTATCATCACCAATCTTAAAAACAGGGGGGGGGGGAGAAAAAGTTGGATTAAAAATAAATTAAAATTTGTGGACTTAATCCAACCTACTTTACATTTATATACAAAATGTAAGTATTTAAAAACTTCATATAAACATTAAAACTTATTAGCAATTTATGTAATTAACAACCTGTTTCCAAAAATTATCTGAAGTTATTGAAAGTAACCACTTAAGATCCTCAGATAAAAAAATCATTCGTTCAAGCCATTCATGAAATTCTGTTTTGTCTTCTAACTGTTCATTTGATGGAAAACAAAAGGAGATAAAGTTCCTTGATTCTATCGAAGTGTTCTATAAGATGTATATTAAAAACTGTTAATAAATTAGTTTAAAATATTTGAACATCCAATGAAAATATTGTATATGAAAACGTAAAGATATACCAATATAAGATTTCTTGACATTTTTTACACTTGTAAAATTACTTTGCTGTAAATCCCAGCGTAAAATCTCGTTGTTTACATCGCATTGTGTTGTTTACATCGCATCACACGAAATACACGGATGATGAGTTCTGAATTCAGTTTTAATACTTATTAAAACAGTTGATTTTAATAATCAACCAGTTTGTTATAAAAAAATTCACAATCTTCGAACAATCATTCTCAAGACAAATCAAAGGCAATGCTTCTAAACTCGAAGCAATTTAAACACCTAATGAAGTTTTTACACAAACCTGTTGCATTGGTGTAGAATAGGGCCCTGCCAATAAAGGAAACTTTTCTAAACGTAAAATTATAAGCTTGCTCCATATTAACCAAAAAAACTTTTTCCTAAAAAAAAAAAAAGACAGCCGTAATAAAAACAAGGGCTTCAACTAGAAATAATACTATAGATATAATGGATGTATATAAAAAAGAAGAAAACAGTTGCGTTGTTCTACAAAAATGAAATTAGAAATACCTATAAATATTAAACAAATTTGATTTTAAATAAATTTTAATATAAAGTAGAATAAAATAATAGAACTTATATACAAATGAAGAAGTAAAGCAACAATTATTTTGTCATTTGTTTTGTATACGAAAACACAAATCAGATCACTGAACGCATGGATTCCCAAGAAAGATGTGCTATTTTGAATGATAATTTGAATCAGAATTGCTAACTTAATCTTTTACTTTATTTTCCTACATGATTATAAGCATCAGGTTTGCTAACTAATTATTTATCTTTATCATTTAGGTATCTTTAAATTGGATATTAGAAACATATAAGGCCTTTCTATTGCATATCGTTTATAACCTCTATATTTAGACACATATCTTTTTTTTTAATTTTCTCAACTAACTTCGAGAAAAAAGGGGGCGCACCAACTTTATTTGCTCCAAGCGCTATTTATGTTGCTACGCCACTAATTAATAGTGTTTAGTGTTTACTACTTAATGAATGAATAAATGCATGTATTGGAACTTGATAAACTTTATTGCATCAATTTAATCAAACCTAATAAACTATAAAATTATAAACTATACATTAATTTGAACTTTTAAGTTTAGTAAAATCACTCAGTACAAATGAGTGAATTTAATAATATAAAGATAATTGCTTATTGTTAAATAAATAAGAATTATTGAATGAAATTAGGAATATTATAATTTAAAAATGCAATTTGTTCTCCACGCTTAGACAAAATTTCTTTAACATCAAATTATACACATAAAAAAAGACACCAAGGGTTTCGCGCCCAGTCAAGTAAATTTAAAACTGAGTAAAGCAAAAAAAAAAAATGATATTGTTATAATAGTGTGCGTCAACGAGGCAAAGTTTAATATATTTTAAATATATTAAACTTTGAAAATATTTTAGACGCTTTTTCAAAACTTTATGAAATTTTAGAATATCGATACCTTAATATGCAAATTGGGTAACTCCATTTTTTGACAAAATGACTTAATAATGTTGGACTCTCCCAATTTACTTACCATGTGTATAGGCATGTAAACAACAAAATTCCTCGTTAAGTCATTTTGTCAAAAATGACTTAACGAAGAATTTTTTTTGCATATTAAGGTATCGATATATCCTTTCAAAATACATCTTTTTTAACAAAGATGTAAAATAACATGTTGTTTTAAAATCTTATTTTGCACATCAAAAGTCAATCGGCATCACGCAAAATATAAAACACCTTTTAAATCAAATTTGATTGAAAATTATATATTATTCGTTCATTCACAGTTATATCAACTATTGCAATATTGTTTGGACACATACTTTTCAGTACTAAAGAAAATACACTTTAAACAAAAGCAAGCGTATCAAATAGTATGCAATACTAACAGATATTCATGCCAAACGATTATTCAGGGGAAATAGAGCTCTAAATTTTTTTGAACTGAACCTCTTCCAAAATTTATTATTTATGTTTAAATCGCAAAACAACTTGCTACCAAAAAACTTTGAAAATTAATTTTCCACCATTGATCACAAATACCCAACAAATTACTCTTTTCGAAACTTTAAAATTCCAAAGACTTTACTTAAAAAAACTAACTTCTCTATCTTATTTCGAGGACCTCGGCTATGGAATTCGATCTTTAAAGAGAGAATAAAAAACATAAAGTCATCAAATCCCTTCAACGCAACAGTCAAACAGCACATATTTAACTTAATTGACGTCAACATACTCTCCTATTTTCAAAGATCAAATTAATAATAACTAACTAAAAACAATTGATCTCTTTTGATAACTACAAATGATGATTATATCCAGTTGCGGATTAAGACTTCTTGGGCCCGGGGCTATTTTTTTTGGAGGCCTTTTTATGGGCCAGAGCCTAAAAATGACTAAAAAAAAAAAAAGTTTTCTAAAATTTTTGGGGGCCCCTAAATTTGCGGGACCCGGGGCTATAGCCCCCCCTCCCTTAATCCAGTACTGATTATATCACAATACAAATAGTTTTTCTTTCCTATACTCATCTATCGTTACGAACATGACTTTGCTTTTAATTTTTAGTTTTTTCTTTATTTCTATTTATGAATTTTTTAATGTCACGTTAATCTCACGTGAAACGTGAAACATTTGTATTTGCGTTTTGAAAATTTTATTACTTTAAACACCCCTAGTCAGCATCTATTAACAAATCTAAGACCTAGCACACGCTCAATGTTCACAAAATAATGTGAGAAATAATTACCCTTGATCCCTTCAAATTTATCTGCTTTGTTTGAAAATAAGTGTGAGTTTTACGTAATAATGATTTATCCGAACAAATTAAATATATATATTTATTATTTTTTATAACTTGACTGTAATTATTAACGTTTTCATCCGAAAATGGCCAGTTTTGAATTACTTTACTTTATCCAGAAATGAAGTCAAATCAAATGTTCCAAAATGATAACGAACCTTTCAAAACGTGAATTTGGTAGATTGTTTTTGAAGCCGGAGCTGATCATGTATATATGTATGTATGTATGTATGCATGTATGTATGTATGTATGTATGTATGTATGTAAGTATGTATGTATGCATGTATGCATGTATGTTTGTATGTATGTATGTATGTATGTATGTATGTATGTATGTATGTATGTATGTATGTATGTATGTATGTATGTATGCATGTATGCATGTATGTTTGTATGTTTGTTTGTATGTATGTATGTATGTATGTATGCATGTATGTATGTATGTATGTATGTATGTATGTATGTATGTATGTATGTATGTATGTATGTATGTATGTATGTATGTATGTATGTATGTATGTATGTTTGTAAGTATGAAAATATAAAGCAACTGAAACAGATTAAAAAAAAAACAAAAGATTTTTATTAATAACAAAAAGAATAATTTATTAAACAATTCCATTAATTTCTGTATGAAAACCGCAAATAAATACATGTACAAAATTACATTACCTAATTTTATAAATATGAATAACTAATTTTTAAAAGATTAAAAAAGCTCAAAACATTTCATTCTCCAAAACTTAATCGTAGACAAAAATATAATTAAACGAAAAAAACAAATAGAGAAAACAAGTGTTGTATCAAACAACGTTTTTATTCAGTAAAAAAAAAAAAAACATTATCTACACTAATCTTTCTCCAGAGCCAAACAAAATAAAAGCAAAAAATCCTATTAATGAAACAACAGATGTTAACACAAAAACTGCTGACCAATGTCCAGTAGTCTCTAATATAAACCCAGTTATATAAATACCAATAAATCCAGCAAATGCTCCACATCCATTCATTAGTCCATGTAAAACCCCTGCATGTTTTGGTGCTAGGTCTTGTGAATTAAGCATTAAAGATGAACTAGTGAAACTCATAAATCCTATATTTAAGCTCATTACAAAAAGTGCTTGTCGAAAAGTCTCTACAGTATTTAGTAAAAGAGAAGAAATGCAAACACCAAGAAACAACATTGAGGCATATAATTTTCGCACTACTGTAACTGATGTTCCACTCACTAGCAGAACATTTGCAAAATATCCAGCAATATTTGTTAGTATGAAGTTCAATAGCCAAGGTACCACATTAAAAATCCATCCTTTACTCTCTGGAAATGCATCATGAAAATAAATTGGTGTCCATGAAAGCAAATTATAGAAACACATACCACTTGCAAAATATGCAATCAGCAAGCCCCATATCGGAGGGCATTTTAGCAATCTAATCCAAGGCACTGAATCTTTAACAACAAGCTGCGGTTCTTTATTTTTTTTAATATTAAAACTTGAAACAAAATATCGAAAAACTATTACCCATATAAAAGAAAGGCTACCATTAACAATAAAAACGCTTTCCCAACCAAGATTATCAACCATTATTGAACCAATAAATCCAGTTGAAACAGTACCTATTGCGGAGCCAGAATAAGCAGCACTCGAAACAACACTTCGTTCAGCAACTGCAACATGTCTAGATATCAACGACACAAATGACGGAAAAAAAACTCCTTGGGAGACTCCAGTAAAAAATCGACATATTAAAACTGCAGATGTACCAGAATAAAATAAAAAATTGGAATGTGCTACTAAAGGCAAAGCAATAGTTAATAATGACCATACTATGGAAGAGTAAAATATAACAATTTCCCCACCATGATGATCAGCTAAATAACCTCCAAGCATATTTGTTAGTAAATAACCACAAAAAAAAGCAGAAAGTGCCATACCAGATATTTGTTTATTCCATCCTAAGTCTTTAGCAACAGCAGCAGTACAGATTGACATTGATGTACGCACAGAATATACAAGCAAAATTCCAATAAAAAATAAAATTGTCCATTTAATACGAGTTTTCCTATTCCAATGTTCATTGTTAGGAACTTGATCAATAAAATTTGGTGGAAAATTTACTTTATCTTTTGCAGCAGGATCTATATCTATATTAATTGCCATTTTTTATATTTACTAAATTGCAAACATAATAAACTTAATGTTCACATTTAAAGAAAAGATATTTATTTACAAATTTAATTTGAATTTATTTAAGTGTTATAAATTTAAATTTTAAAACTACAATTTTATTAAACAGTTACTTACAATTAATTTTGATAAATACTCAATAATTCATTTGAAAATAGGTCAGGTGAATAAAAATGAGCAATTGCTTTTACTCAGTAAATGGTCAGCTTTACGTGAATAAAAACTTCAGCAGTTTTGCTCAAATTTTTATTCACATAAATTTAAACAATTTACTCAGTTGCTCAGCTTAACGTGAAAAAAAAAACTTAAAAGCAAAATTCTTAAAGTTTTTATTTACGTAAAAAAAGCAATTTTCATTTTTGTTTACCCAGCCTAATTAAAAAAAATAGTTAAAAAAAATATTTTTATTAATGCAATAGAACAGGAGCTCCCAAAGATTTACTTAGAAGGACCAAATTCTAAATTTCAAAATAATTGGTGGGCCAAAATAGAAAAATGTTTTAAAAAAAGTCATAATAAATGTATATTCATAATAGATGTATATGTATCATAGTAGATGTATAAGCCATAATAGATGTGTATGTACATTCATTCAAATAAACATGAAACTTTTAAAATGTTATGAAAATATTTTTAAAATTAAGGTATCAGATCTTACGGTGATCAGATCTTACAATGTACAAGGCCATGCCTACTAATAGGCAAACCAGACAGCTGCCTGGGGCCCTAAACATCCAAGGGGCCTCAGGCAGCTGCCTGGCTAAAGTTTTTTCAAAATTTTAAATTTTAATTTCGTTAATTAAATTTTAGAATTTAATTTACGAAATATTCTTCCAAATATCTTTGAAGCGGAGACCATTTTTTATTTCTCAATGTAGTACTATGCTCGTGCTCTTCTTTGTGCATCAATACTGCTCACTATTGGGCAAAATTGGAGAGACTGGCATGGCATCTATTGCTCTCGGTACTCTCAGGACCAATACATGTAAAAGATTATGCTTTCCCAAAGAGTTGCTTTTCCAATTCTAAAGCCAAACGAAGGTTTTGTGCTTTAAACTACAATAGATTTTTGACAAATGATCAAACCATAACAAGATCATGACTTCTATACTCAAAAAAAAGCAGATTCTGTATACTATTTCTGCTGCAAGTTGTTTAGTGTTGATAAACAAAAACTTAGTACCAGTGGCTTTTGTGATTGGAAAAACATTTATTCCATGTTAAGTGAGCATGATCCTTCACAAGAGCGCAACAAATCCTGGATAAAATGGAAGGAGCTGGAAAGTCGTTTGAAAGCAAACAGTACAATCGATCAACAGAATCAGAGTGTCTTTTTTTTTTTTTAATTATCTTCGCTTCCAACAAGGCTGCAAGCAACCACTAATTAGTGTTGGAAGTTACTGGAAGAGAAAAGATGAAGATTGGAGAGCAAGATAACGATTGACAGACGACTTAAAAGATTGCAAATTATATGAATCAGGAAAGCAAGATGAAGGAAGTGAATTCCAAAGAACTGATGTTCAAGGAAAAAAAAATAGACGAAGAGTTTTTGGAACACTTAGGAACAGTAACAGAAAAAGGATGAGACTTGATTGAATGACGAGTAACACAAGAATGAATTTTAGTAGATGGCACAAGAGACGCTAGCTCCTTAGAGCAGTGCCCATTATAGTATTTATAGAAAAGAGAAAGAGAAGCAACATTAGGACGATGTGACAGAGGTTGAAGGTTGGCTGCAAGAGCAGGTCCAACTATGTTTACAATGCGTTTTTGCACCTTGTCTAAAAAAGAGAAATGGCATCATTAGAAGATCTGCCCCAGATATGGCAACAGTATTCCATACAAGGCCGGATTTGAGATTTATAGAGATAGAGAATAGAATCCAGAGTAAGAAAGTGCTGAGCTCGATAAAGAGAAGCAACTTTAGCAGATGCTAATTTTGCAACGGATTTGATATAAGGTTTCCAAGAAAGATCAGAAGTTAATCCTAGAAGATGAAGGGTAGGAGACTCATCGAGTGCATTACCGTTCATAAATATAGGAAGGTCTAAATTATTGCTATCTTTCAGCAAGAACAGCAATACTGGTGATCAGTAGTTGAGAGAATTGTGGGAATTATTCTATATTTAGCACAAAAAAAAAAAAAAGTGGCTTTTCGTGGCAATGAGGAAAAACTTTTTGCCAATGAGAATGGAAACCTTCTTGGCCTAGTGGAGTTATTGGCATTTTTTCATTATTTGATAGTGTCATGCAGAAGTATGTTCGTCGAGCAACCAACAATCAGTTGCTAAACCATTTAAGCAACAGGATTCAAAATGAGCTAATCATACCTATGTCAAGAAAAGTGCAAACTGAAATTATTTATTGTCTTAAGGTGGCAAAATATTTTGCCCTCATATTGGATTGCACTCCAGACATGGCCCATAAAAAGCAAATGACTTTAGTGGTGCATTTTGACGAAACTTCAGAAAGTTCTGCAACAATTAAATAATATTTTTTTGGTTTCCTGGTAGCTGAATATCAAACAGGTAAAAAAAACTACAAAATTAATTACTACCTGACTGAAAACAACATAAATATTGATGACTGCAGAGGACAAAGATATGAAAATGGAAACAACATGAAAGGTCACATCAAAGGAGTGCAAGCATGAATTCTGGAACAGAACCCTTTGACTTCTCTCCGTTTGGTGCCCATTCATTAAATCTCAATGTTTCTGATGCAGGCAAATGCATCCCCAAAGTTGTTTTTTGGATATCTTCAACGCTTGTATGCATTTTTCTCAGCATCACCACATAGATGGACAATCATGAAACAATGTGTTGGAGCTACAATAAAGAAATGGAGTGAGACACGCTGGGAATCTCAAATAAAAAGTGTAAAAGTTGTTATTAAACCATTTACCTGAAATTTTGAATGCACTAGAAGAATTAGAAGACTCAAAAATGATCCCTTTGCCTTTGCTGAACTGAGATCTTCAACAAACGAATTATCATCATATGCCTTTATCATAAAGACTATGATATGGTATGAACCCCTGCTGCAGATTAATATTGCAAACAGGTACTTTCAGTATGAAAAATTGGACCTTCAATTAGCTATGCAATATATCAATAATTGTAAAGTAGCTCTCAATGTTCTTAGAAATAATTTTGACAGTTTGTTACTTCAAGCTCAGAGAATTACAGCTAGCTGTGAAATTGATACTGAGCTGCCTCAACCTCAAATGAGAAAAAAAAAACAATCTCTCTATGAATTAGCTGAACAAACACAGTTTACACAATTGGAAAATTTACAGATTAACTTCTTCAATGAGACAATAGAAGTAGCCATACATGGGTTGGATGAACGATTCACTAAACAGAATCATTTGTGTGGAACATTTGGATTCCTTTTTAATATTAAAAGTGTTGATAAAGAAGGGTTAAGGACTAGTTGTGAAGAATTGAAAACAAAACTGGATAGAAAGAGGAGAAGTGATAAAAAAAGTTGTGGTTAGGGGCCCCACAAGAAAGTCTGCCTGGGGCCTCAAAATAGGCCTAAACGGCACTGACGGTGTATAGCGGGCCACATTTTAACAGCTACAGGACCACTCTTGGCCTGCAGGCCACACTTTAAGAGCCCCTGCAATAGAACACGAGTAAAAAAATAATAAGAAAAAAAAGTTTAAAATTGAAATACAGGAAATTAACATAAAAAATAACTTTTTTATAAACTAATTATAATGGTATAACAAAAATATTTATAATAGCACAAGTAAAAGATAAAGCACAAAGTTAGAGCACAAAGTTAGAGTAAAGACAAGTTAAAGATATTATATTTAAAATTCTACTATCTTTTTAAATTTTTAGTAAAGTACAAGACCTTTCTAAATTTTAATGAAAAATTTTTAAAGTACAAGGCCTTTCAAAATTTCAATAAAAAGTACAAGACCCAAAATTTCAATAAAAAGGAATTCATGCAGAAGATTTTAAATATTGTCTGGAATTTTAAAAATAGTGATAATGTCAATGAATCTATAAACTTTTTAAAAATATTTAACACTTGATTGTCATGTCCCATAAAAAAAACTGACCAAACAAAATTAAACTCAAACAGACCAAACCAATTTAAACTCAAACCTTGGATCACAAAATAATATTTACTAATTTTATATATAAAAAATATATAAAACCCTAACAAAAAAAGACAATTATTCAATAAACTTATATACATTATAAAATTATACAGGAATAAAATGAGCAACTTATTAAGAATTCCGAAAAAGTCATATTATATTGAATTCTTAAACAAAAACCTTTAACAATAAAAAAACAAAAAAAAAACATGGAAAGGAATAACAAAAATTATTAACATAAAATCCTCCCCTCCAATTTAATCTTTTACTATTAAACAAAATGGTAAAACTTAGACAGTATGACTGTTGCAAGCGTATTCAACAAGTACTATAAAACTATACAACAACCACTATTAAGTAGAATTATTTTTTCTAAAAGTATTTTCTCTCACTATTAAAAGACTTCTTAATATAATAAATATGTCTAAAAATAAAGTGCCAGATTTATTAAAAAATACTCTACAAAATGATAAAAGTTTAGGTCCAAATTGTGTTCCCACAAAATTCATAAACTTATTCAACACATTTATACTCAAGCCTCTTTGAACTCTTTAATGATTTTTTTTAAAAAAAAAAAGAAAAAAAAGAGCTTTATCCAGATGTCTTCAAAATCACATTTTCTTGAGAAAAATGTCTGTGCAAACATCAGCATGGTTTTCATAGCAAACACTTTATAATTCGTTTATTAACATAACTTCATGGCAAACACTTCATAACTCATTTATCAACATAACTTCATAGCAAACACTTCAGAAACCATTTTTATTTTACACCTACCCTTAAGACACTGTTAAATTAAGACATATCTTAACACATACTTTATTGAACTTGCTTCTTGATTTTAAACAAACATTGCAGTATTTTTTGTCAGACTCTTTGTACATCAAGTCAATTAGTACATTGGTACATCAACCAAAATGACAAATATTAATCAACACAAATAACATAAATTAGTTATAATCAACCACATATATTGGTATGAAAATTCTCTTTTTTTTCACCCAATTAGTATTGCAGCTGCCTATAATATCAACTGAAGGTTAAAAGACATATAGAAAGAAGGTTGAAAGACACATAGAAATAAACCTTTGATTACTTTCAGAATTTTTCATTCTGAATATATTTCAGAAGGAAACTTTTGAAAAATATTCCATTGTGATAAAATATTTTGTCAAAAATAAAAACCCATTTTTAGTCTCATATTATTTTTAAACAATAAGAATCCATATATATATATATATATATATATATATATATATATATATATATATATATATATATATATATATATATATATATATATATATATATATATATATATATATATATATATATATATATATGTATGTATATGGATACTTGTTACAATAGTGTTGACACTTATGTGTCAACGCTATTGTAACAGGTATTCATATATATATATATACATAATAGATATATGGATACCTGTTACAATAGCGTTGACACATAAGTGTCAACACTATTGTAACAAGTATCCATATATATATATATATATATATATATATATATATATATATATATATATATATATATATATATATATATATATATATATATATATATATATAATATATATATATATATATATATATATATATATATATATATATATATATATATATATATATATATATATATATATATACATATGCTGTCCTAAAATCAGATACAAAGAACAGTTAAAATAGTTTGTTATAATCAATTTAATTCTAGATATTATATGTAAAGTGTTTCCCATTATATCATTTTTAATGCATTTAAAAATCGAAAGATAGACAACTGTACATAAAGTCTCCATAACATAAAGTCTTCATCTAGAGACTTAAAAAAAAATATATAAGTGTAAATTCTAAGCATTAAAAAATTTTTTTTTTTTTTTTTCTTTTAACATCTTCACTTCCAACAAGGCTGCAAGCAACCACTATAAGAGTTGGAAGTTACTGGAAGAGAAAAGACTAAATCTGTAGAGCAAGATAACGATTGACTGATGACTTGAAAGATTGCAAATTATATGAATCAGGAAAGCAAGATGAAGGAAGCGAATTCCAAAGAACTGATGTTCGAGGAAAAAAACTAGAAGAATAAGAGTTTTTGAAGCACTTAGGAACAGTCACAGAAAAAGGATGAGACTTGAATGAATGGCGAGTAACACGAGAATGAATTTTAGTAGATGGCACAAGGGACGCTAGCTCTTTAGAGCAGTGCCCATTATAGTATTTGTAGAAAAGAGAAAGAGAAGCAACATTACGACGATGTGACAAAGGTTGGAGATTGGCTGCCAGAGCAGGTCCAACTATGTTTACAATTCGTTTTTGCACCTTGTCTAAAAGAGAAAGAGCATCATTAGAAGATCCGCCCCAGATGTGGCAACAGTATTCCATACAGGGACGGATTTGAGATTTATAGAGATAGAGAATAGAATCTGGAGTAAGAAAGTGTCGAGCTCGATAAAGAGATGCAACCTTAGCAGATGCTAATTTTGCAATGGATTTGATATACGGTTTAAAAGAAAGATCAGAAGTAAGAGTTAATCCTAGAAGATGAATGGTAGATGACTCATCTAGTACATTACCATTCATAAATATAGGAAGATCTAAATTATTACGATAACGATTGGCCGAAAAAAATTGAGTTTTATCTGAATTAAAATTCACCAGCCACTGTGAGCCCCATGCTGTAGCAGAAGTGAGATCCTTTTCAAGCTCAGATACCCCCTCCAAGCAATCAGAGAGTGTAGGCTTCTTATCATGACAAGAGTAAATGGTAGTGTCGTCAGCGAATAATGCCACCTTAGATGTGAGAATATCTGGAAGATCGTTAATGTAAATTAAAAAGAGTATAGGGCCAAGGATTGAACCTTGAGGAACCCCTGAAGTTACAGGATGTGAAGAAGAGTGTTGTCCATCGAGGACAACTTTTATACTACGATTGGAAAGAAAGGACTCAATAATCTTAAAGACGTTACCAGCTACACCATAAGAAGAAAGCTTATGGAGAAGACCAGCATGCCAAACTTTATCAAAAGCTTTAGAAATGTCAAGTGCGATAGCCTTAACCTCTCCACCTCTATCTAATGCACGGTAAAACCTATCGGTTATTACTGTTAGCACATCAGCTGTAGAACGAGAAGACCGAAAACCATATTGATGATCAGAAAGTAAGTTATTTGATTCAAGATGAGAGATTAAGTAATTGTTGATTAAAGATTCAAAAACATTGCTTATGATAGGAAGAAGACTAATGGGATGGTAGTTAGATGAATCAGATCGCTCTCCGGAATTTTTGAAAATAGGGATAACAGATGCTGCTTTCCAGCATGATGGAAAACAAGACTCTGATAAGCACTTGTTAAATAGTTTAGAAAGTATGGATGAAAGCTCCGGAGAACACCTCTGCAAGACTACAACAGGAATGTTGTCAGGACCACAAGCTGTTGAAGAGTCTAAGCAGGAAATTACTTTAGATACAGAAGCTGAAGTGATGCGAATGTCAAGCAAGGGATCAACCTGTTTGACGGCTATGTCAGGTAAAACGCAACTAGTGGAATCAAGAGATGATATTGATGAAAAGTTCTTAGCAAACAATTCAGCTTTGTCTTTAGGTGAGGTGACAAAGTCTGAACCATACAAGAGAGAATGAATAACAGATTTGCCCTTATTATTGATACTGTTAAAGATTCTCCAGAAGTCTCGAGAGCCTAATTTTTGTGATGAGATACGAGATTTAATGACCTGGGAATAGCGAGCTTTGGCGTCAGACAAAACCTTTCTACAATGGTTTCTGGCGATAGTGAACAGATGTCTGTTTTCTGGAGAATTGTTTTGCTGATAGATATGGAAGTAACAGTTTCGATTAGAAATTGCTGCAGCGCAATGTGAGGAAAACCAAGGAGAAGAGTGAGGCTTGACCTGGAATCGTCGAGAGGGAATAAAAGATTCCATGCCAGCCTGAATCCACGAAGTTATGTAAGAAGCACATTTGTCAGCAGGAAGACGAAAGATTTCTACCCAATGGCCATCACGAAGAAAATCACGGAAAGAGTCCCAGTCAGCTTTAAGGTAGTTGTATGTGGTACGATGATAGGGGAATTCTGATGAAGTAGAAGAATTTGATAATAGTTTTAGAGAGATCAAACCGTGATCAGAAGTACTTAAGGGTGAATGTGGAGAAATTGAGCACTGACTAGGATCCAAAACAAGACATAAGTCAAGTAGAGAAGGTAAATGATTAGGGTTGTTTGGAAAACGAGTTGGAAAGTTGACTATTTGAGTTAGAGATTGAGAAAGGCAAAAGTTGAGGGCCTTAACGCCAGCAGAGTCACTGACACTAGAGCCAAGCCAATCAGTGTGATGGGCATTAAAGTCACCAACAACGACGATATTGGCCGATGGATAAAGAGAGAGGGCTTGGTCAATTTGATCAGAAATAACATCAAGAATAGTGCAATCTTGGGATGAAGGAGAGCGATATAGAACAAAGAGAAAGGCGATAGAGTGAAGTTGTGCTAAACGAAAGCACATAAATGAATAGTCTGTAGATTCAAACCTAGTTTCACGACAAATGGGTGAGTTCTTACGAATGTAGATGCCCAGGCCAAGCATGTGATTATTGGAGTCTTTACGAATTAAAGGAAGATAACCATCAACACTAAGATCACAAGATGGGACAGCCGAACTCAAATTAGTCTCACAAAGAGCAAGTAGGTCTGGTGAACTTTGCAAGAGATAAGACTCAACAGAAGAAAAGTTACTTCGAAGACCACGAATATTAGTAAATGATAGGTTTAGAGAACTTGGTGATGACGATGGTTTTTTGTGTTTTTTAGTTTTAGGTACTTTAGTCATTTTAAATTTATAAAGAACTTGACTCAAGTATAGATAGTACTCAGTACACTATTTAACAACTAAGCAATAGCCTCATTACTATTAATAAACCCTAAGCCGTAACAAAGGGCTCCAAATGTGGCCTCTGCAATGCACACCAAAAGTACAAACAGGGACACCATCCATGCGCAACATGGCACTGTTAGTACTCTGATATTTTTCGGCTGTTGATGGAATCAGCCTCTCTGAGAGCTACCACAGAGTTCGGGAAACCTGACTACCAGCCGGCCTCAGAACCATAAAACTGAGTTTTAGAGCTGTACCCTCATTAGGAGATAATAGAATGAGTTGCCCAGTCATAAAAATAGAGGCACAAGCAATACCCACGCATTGAGTCAAGAAGATCCAGCGTTCAACATCCTAAACTGGAAACAATGTATTAAAAATACATCTGCACCAGCCTAATAGATGAGGAAGGGGTGCGAGGCTGGTCAACAGATAGAATCTGTTTACCCCTTAAGTCTTTGCCTAGGAGGCCTTCTACAAGACAGCAGCTGGATGCATGTAACATCTGCCCAAGATGAGTATTTTTATCGAGACACCATCTCTAGCCTTTACTCAACCAAGAGCCCCAAGGCAGGGGGTGTTTTAATTCGGAGTTCGAATTTCAACTTCTCCTAGCTTTTGCCTAAAAAAGTGTATCCTACAAGGCAGCAGGACATGGAGCAGGTTGTACTGGGTTACATGTTACCAGTGGCAGGAAAACCTGACCTGACCTTGTGATCATTATGACCTGACCTTGTGATCATTATGACCTGACCTTGTGATCGTTATGACCTGACCTGACCTGACCTTGTGATCATTATGGAGCATACTAATTATGGATCATTTATCATTATGGAGCATTATCAAATCATTATGGAGCATACTAAGTTACCATTAGTGCCAAAATGATTGCACATTACGCCCTATCGCCCTCCATTTATTAAGTGAAAATAACCAGAAAATTATTAAAGAAATTACTAAAGAAAATTATTTTGCTTAATGTCGGAAGATAATGAGCATGACAAGTTCGGGCACAAAAAGTTAATTATCTAAAAGAAAATCATCCTAATATTTCTAAGATTCTCTATTTTTTAGATGGTTGTGCTTCACTAAATAAAAACCACAAAAACCTTTACATGCATGTTTCCATAAAGATGATTTTGACATTGATGCAGAGTGGACATTCTTTGCTACAAGTCATGGTTAGTCATCATGTGATGGCATTGGTTGCACTGTAAAACAATTAACTGCAAATGCAAGTCTACAAAGGTTCATAAATGACCAGATATTGAATTGTAATAAATTGTTTGACTACTCTACAAAAAATATTAAACGAATTATTTTTTTCAAGATTGAAAAAGAAAGACTGACAGAATTACGCACCGTGTTGAAAAGACCTTGTCAGCTAAGTAGAACAATTCCTGGAACTAGGAGCTATCATCGATTTAACCAAAAATCTATAGACACTAAATTAAATGAACAACCTAGATTATATGAGTGTTGGGAAGTGAAGCAAAAATTGGAGTGTTGAATTGAATTTTTGCTTCACTTCAATGAATTGAAGTGAAGCAAAAATTGGAGTTTGGATTGTTTTATGCATGACCAACCCTCAAAATTAGGAAAAATGAGGTCAGCAATAATTAGCCGACCACAATCTGTCAGAGGTAGGCATCAGGTTGGCAAAAAAAACTTGATACAAAGGTATCAAGTTTTTTTTGCAATAAAAAAAAGCAGTTTGGTCAGCATTGCCAATCCTAATTCCGTGGGTTAATTGACCAATATTTATTTTTAGTGACTTTGCAAACTCTGTTCATAAGTAGAAGAAAAGTTTTCTAGGTAATTGTAGCAAAGATTAACCCTAATTTTTACAGACATATTTGCAAAAAGTGGGCAATCAGGTCTAAGAAAAATATAATTTATTTATAATAAATTTTCTTTTGAATTTTTATTTGACTACAAAGCAAAAGAACAAAAATCTTAATTACTGAGCAAGAAAAAAAAGAGAAAAATAATCAATGTTATTAGATAAAGACAAAGAGCTGATACAACTACAAGTATTCTCAAATTCTCAAATATTAACTTTATATTGTTTTATGACTCTGAATATAAATGAAATATCATTACAGAGGGTTAATGCACAACTTATTCAGGATTTTGCAGGGTTTGATTAAAACAAATATTGTGCGTTGTATCATAAAGAAAATAAAGTGAACTCTGTATCTATTAATTTTTGTAAGCAGCAGCAATTTCCAGTTTAAATTAATTCAAAGAAATTTACTTAACTTAAAAAAAAAATGTTATTATTTTAAAACACTTAAAATTAAATCAAACAAACATAAATTAGAGAAACAGAAAATAGATAGAGAAGATCAAGACAAAACATATATTCAGTGTGTTATGATATATCTTCACTAATTTCAGTAAGCTCACTAATATCGTAAGTGAATCAATAAACTAATTCAAGGAATAAATGTTCATCATAATGTAGTCTTTTACTTTGAATACAACCTAAAATTTAACAAAATTAAGATTATTTGGAAATTTATCATTTATATATACATTACTTATACATACTATGTATAAATAACTTTATACATAACATGTTTCCAAAACTTCAAACCTTGTATGAATCTAAGATACCATTTATATTTATTTCTTGTTACATTTTTTCTTTTGTAAAAGTAACAAAAACTTCTTAAGTCATTATACTCTAAAAAAAAAAAAAGAATTTTAACAAGTTAAAATCATGTTTGTTAGCTTTTTTAATACTACAAAAATTAAGGAACCATATTGTAATCATGTCAGTATTGCAAACACAAAAATAAAAAGATATAACACATATGAATAAAAAATAACTAATAGTTTTTATATTTAACAATATTTCAAAATTTGTTTAAAATAATGCTTTTGCAAAAAGTTTATTGAGGCTTCAAAAAATAAATTTAATAATAAAAAAAAATAAAAAACATAGACATGACATTTTTACTTCAAAAAAATCTAGAAATTTTCTGGGTACAAAAAAGGTGCGGCTGATAAAAATTAATATGAAAATTATTTTTAAAAGTATTTAAAAAGCTCAAACTTTTTGTTTTTAATTTCAAAATTTGAATTTGTAACAACTTTAAAAAATAAATTAATCAAAAATAAAGAAAAACACTTCAAGCCTTGCCTAATATCCAGAAATTCTAGGGAAAATTTCAACTACAAAACTTAAAAACATAAGTTATACAACATTTGTAAAAAAATAAAATTGCATCTTGTATTTCTTTTATAATTCTTAACATTTTTGAATAAAATAATAAAAACAGCACACATTTTAAACAAATTTGCTTTTTTAAAAAAATGATTACATGATTGTGATGTCAAGAAAAAAAAAAACTAAAAAAAAAATCTTTAAAATTGCAATGTATTTTCTACATAGCTGTGAAATGAAACAGAATTTTGAATATTGCTTAAACATAATCTGGTAACAAGTCAAATGCAGACCCAACCCAGTCTGATAATTTTTTTTAACAGATCTACAAGACAAGACCATCACACCCATTAATAAAATGGTTTGAGTATGGGTCATATGATATCCAGAGCAATTAAAATTAGACACATTATTTTGCGAAAGTTATGTTATCCTTTATAAAAATAGCTGAATAGAATAATTTGAATTAATATAAAAAAAGATTCTTTTTGTAGATTTTTTTTTTACCTTTTTTTCTGTTAGCTTCAACGTTCTATGATACTAAAAAAAAGAAAACAAAAAACAATTTCAAAGAGTATGAACCACAAGTGAACTAAATGAGTGAGATGCATCCATTTATCAGATCTATAACCACACACAACAGAGCAGCACTAACTCAATTTTTCAGAATTTATGGTTTAATATGGTATTTTGCCAGGATAATAAATCGAGTATGGGTTCAGGTAAAATCCATTGATACCCAATTGCAATACAAAGCTGTGTTTTTAAGGCGAGTCTATATTTTTGATACCTAAACCATTACAATCACAACTCTATCTAAATAAACATGTTTAAGCAGTAAAGGTATTTTAACTAAAATCCTCGTTAAAGTTTTGTTTTAAGTAAAACAAAACCCTTTTTAATTGTTGATGGTACCTATTTAATAAAGCAAAATCCTTTTTGCAATGTAAAAGTTACATAATTAGTAAAACAATAGATGAAATATAATTACTTATAAAAGCATAATCAAATACACAACAAATAATTTTAAAAAATGTAGAAATATAGAAGAGGATCAAAAGTCAAATACAAATGTGTTAAACAACTATAAAAAAAAGAAAAAGAAAAAGAATAGCATTCTACAGAAATATAAACAAATTTATAAATAAACATATAAAAAAAATAAATATATTTGACAACAATTGTGACTTGTGTAAAAAATAAATATATTCAGTTCAATAAAAATATCAAATAACAATTGAAAAATGTGTGGCAATAAATATCTTTAAAAAGTGAAAATTTAAATAGTAAAAACTTTAAAAAATATATATAAAAAAAAAAATCTTTAAAAAATTTTAACAAACACTTCATATAACTAATGTATTTTTTAAGTGTCAAGTTCTACGCTCCTAAAACAATAAACAACTTATATGAACCAGAATTTTGAAATTTTTAATTCAAAACTGAGGCTTTACTTTTTTACCACTGCCATACATTATGTAAACTAAAAATCCAAGGAATGAAATTACTGATGTCATGATAAAAACTCTAAACCATTCACCAGAATTGCTTAAGATGATTCCTGAAATCAAAACTCCAAGAAATCCACCAAGGGCACCACATGTGTTTGCAACTCCATATAAAACACCTGCTTGTTCTGGAGAAAGATCTTGAGGATTGATAGCTACTGATGAGGCAGCAAATGCATTCATACCAATATTCAATGTCATTACAAATAAAGTTGTTTCAAATGAATGAGTTGCAGCCAACAATAAAGAAAAAAAGCACATTCCAAGAAATAACAGGGATCCAAACAGCTTTCTTACAAATGTAACCGAAAACCCACATACAATCAACATATTTGCTACTTTACCAGAACCAAGAGAAAGCAAGAAACTCGCTAAATAAGGAAGTACATTAAAAAGCCAAGCCTTACCTTTTGGATAAGTTTCATGGAAATATGTTGGACTCCAAGACAAAAAAACATAAAATGATACACTCATTGAAAAATAAGCAAACAACATAGCTAAAACACTTTTGTTAAAGAGTAAAACTTTTATAGGAACTATTTTTTTTATTCCACGAATGTTATCGGTATCAAGTGGGTTTTTCTTCTTGGACCAATGTAAACATTTCAACAAAAAAGCCCACAAAAATGACGCTATGCCAAAAAAATAAAAAACACTTGACCAATGGACCTGTTCCAAAAGTATTGTTCCAAAGAGTCCTGTTATTACTGTGCCTATTGAAGATCCTGAAAAAGTGCAGCTAAATATAAAAGATCGGTCCTCTATAGAAACACTTTTTGCCAAGATTGCTGAGAGTGATGGAAAAAACATACCTTGGCTTAAACCAATAATAAATCGACAAACGATCACAGTTTTAAATCCAAATTTAACAACAGAATTCACTAGAGCTGGTATCAATATTGTAAAAAATGACCAAACAAAGGTTGAATAAAATATTACTCTTTCTCCACCTTTGAAATCTGCCAAATAACCACCAATAATATTTGTTAAAAGATAACCAGCAAAATAAGATGTAAGTACAAAACCTTCGGTTTTTTTATCCCAATGTAGTTCATCACTCAGAGCAGAAATGCATATTGACATTGAAGTTCGTACACAATAAACTAACAAGCATCCTAAAAATAAAGCTGAAGTCCATCCAATCTTTTGCCACCCATTCCAAAGTAGCTTTTTTTTACTATAAGCACTTAGAGAAGTAAAATTATCTCGACTTGAATTCAAATCACTTAATACATTGCTTTCAATCAACTCAGCTTCTTCTTCTGAATGCATAACTTATTTGTTCTTTATATAAACCTGCAAATGAAAATATTTTTTTAACTATAAAAAGAAGCATTATACATATTGTATATATTATTTTCCTATGTAAAATCTCCTAATATGCAAACATGACATTTTTGCCTTTTGTTGAAACAAAAGACAAAAAACACTCTTCAAGTTTTGATAAATACAGATAAAACAAAAACAAAAAAATTATAAAATACTAAAATATATTTACAGGGAACTTTAACAGTTTTTTTATTTTAAAATTCCTCTAAGTAGTTGTCCAACAAAGTTTAGAGTATGGCCCAACGCCTAACAAAACTTTTTACTCTTTTTATTTACTTTACAGTAGCTAAAGTTAAATGTCAAAACTTTTAACATGGTCACTGTTATTAGGTATTATTGAATTTAAAAATAGAGTTGATAAACAGTCTTTTTCATGTCAAACCCCTATTCTAAAATTAAAAATCCCCCCCCCCCCCTCTTTGACTAAAACACTGGAAGAGCGGACACTGCACTTAGCCCCCTCCCCTTCCCCATTTCCTAAACAGTTTTAAAAAACTTTTATGATAGCAACAGCAGAATCATCATTTTCCAGTCTGCAATGACTCAATCACAATTAAGCATCACAATTGAAAAATATATCCATAAAACTGTTTAAGATACTGTCGCATATTAACTATTTTTTAAACAAATATATGCTGGCAAAAGCAGACTAATCACATTAAAAAGATGATTAACCACGTTTTTTATTTCCAAAAACACATTTTGTGCTTTTGGAAATAAAAAAACCCACTAATTTATTAGAGAATCCTTTAGACACAGGGCCAGATTTACACCCTTGGGATGGGAAGTGAAAAAATGAGACTTTTTGCAAACCCAGTCCCAGCAAAATAAGATATAAGATTTAGCAGGGTTTGATAGCCAAGGCTAGAAATAATTCTTTATTTACTATAATTTTCTATTTACATTTACTATTTATTAAACACTGGCTTTATGCAGCCCCAGTTACAAACCCAGCCCCGGTTATATTTTATTAAACCCTGCCCTGACTCTGATCAAATATCAACCCCGGTCACTTACTATCTCAAGGGCACTAGGTTAAATAAATTTTGGGGGACCCTAAAAATATTTTAAATGAAAAACCATTATATAGTTAGAGATGGTAATCCCAGGATCTCGGGATATCATACAAATTATTCACCCCAGAATCCTGGGATTAGTCTCCGAAATTTCCCAGGATTTCGAGATCATCAAAAAAAAGTAAAATTTAATAAAGTTTAAACTTATAATTGCAATTAAGTAATTTGTACATCGTCTTTGGAATAGTAGCTGTTTGGTTGTGTAACTATTTATTCTATTTGCAATGTTTTCCTTTTAAAACTCTCTATTTTATTAAAAATAAAAACTCAAAACATTTTGGCTTGTCTGCAAAAAATGTACGATCAAACATATATATATATATATATATATATATATATATATATATATATATATATATATATATATATATATATATATAGTATAATATTAAAACTAGTATATTACAAAAAAAATTTAGTTATACTATTTTTTGTTTGTTTTTTTTTTGTTTTACTTCACCTCCTCAAGGCCGAGAAGGCCCCTACAGACGAGGAGGCTACTTATTTTATGGCTAAAACCCTCTCTCAACTCTATAACTCCGAAACACGAACCTTGACGAACAAGGCTGCTGCGCGGAGAAACGAGTTGAGCGCGGTACTACCAGGGACGTGGTGGGGATCGAACTCAGAACCACTCATTTATGAAGCGAGCGCTCTACCACTACACCACTACCGCATTGATTATACCGCATACTTTTATTAAAGTAATTGTTTTTAAGTGTTTGATGAGTACTTAAAAAGTATTTAATTGCGTTTTTTTTTTATTAAATCCCAGGAAATCCTAGGAACAAATTCCTCAATCCCGAAATCCAGGGATTGAAAATTTCTGGGATTTTTGCCATCCCTTTATATAATAAATACAAATATAACAATATAAACTGCTTGTTGTTTGTTTTTGAATCTTTAATTCTTTAGTTTAGCGCTACAACCTTTATATAGATTTGTTCTAGAATTCTTTGTGCAGAATTAACCTCCAAAATTTAGTGAAAATAACCTCGAAATTTAGTGTTATAATTGATAATTGTGCAAATAAAACTTTAAAAAATATTTATAATTGTTCAAAGGAGTTATTGTTATCTAGCAAGCATTACCATTGTGAAAGTAGTACTTTTTTTAACAACTCCCTAAACACCATAGCAAACATTGTTTGAACCCATTGCAGGGCTCCCTAAATTGTGTGGCTCTAGGTTCCAGTCTATTTATCTTATAGGTAAATCCAGCCCTGTTAGGACATAATCTTTGTATTGCAGTTTTTGCAGGTGGCAAATTCATCTGATATTTTTTTGGAAAATATTACCATGCTTTTTTTTAGAAAAATATTGCCATGCTTTTAGCAGCCTGATGGCATTATGAACTTCCAATTGACTTAAAATTTCCAAAAGGTCATAAAATAAAAAAAAATAAAAAATATAAACTGTTTAGAACATACACAGAAAAGCAAAAATACAAACTGTTTAAAACATATACCAACTGTTCAAAACATATACCAAAATATATAAACCTTTATATATATATATATATATATATATATATATATATATATATATATATATATATATATATATATATATATATATATATATATATCAGGGTTGGAAACAGAGGAGAGGAGATTAACTTTATAATTTATTTATTTACATAAACAAAAACTTTTTAAAATTCGACTTATTTTTTCTACTAGACCACGGAAAAAATATGCTATGGATTTTTTTTCCTTTAAAAACAACTAACTAATCCTTTTTTTATTAACAACTAATTGTAATTTCATATCTGCTACTAATAATTTTGATTTGATACTAATGAAAGTACAAAAATTACACCAGCGGATAACGTAATATATATATATATATATATATATATATATATATATATATATATATATATATATATATATATATATATATATATATATATATATATATATATATATATATATATATATATATAATAAAAACTTACAGTGTAATAAATAAAGTTTGTGTATGCCTATGCTTGTGTATAAATTAAGACAATGATAAAGTGCGTAAAGAACTTATAGACAAACTATAAAATATTATTTTCTTACAATAGCAATCGTATAGTTAGTAATACTAACAATGATATTGAATGATATGATAAATACAAATAATGATATTAAATATCAGTCTTTGGCTAATAGTATGAGCCGAAGACTGATAGTCAATATCATGTTCTATATTAGTTACCTATAAAACACTTTAAAATGATTTCTATTTTTTTAAAAAAACTGGGCAAATGATAAAAATGCTAACCATGATAATAATGCTAACCATGTAATATATCATCAAATATATTGAAAATATAATGTAAAAAGTGAAAATTTTAAATCTTTTAAAACAACTTGTGTTATACTTTTTTTTTTCTCGATAATTACGAATAATTATTGCGTAATCACCGGAAACTTCAACGCATACCCTTATTTTTAACTCACAAGCCAAATTAATCGGTTTGATGAGTCATAAAAATTGTAACGATGTTCATACCGCACGCTTAAACCTTTAAAATTCCTGAAAAATGGCAAGCAGTTTAAGGGAAAATATTACTATAGCTACATCACTACACATCACACACATAACAAAAAAATAAATGAATAGATTATTAAAACATTATTAAAACACTCAAAAAGCCAGCTCTTCTCTCAATTTAATACTTTTAAATTTAAAAATAATAATTAAACTGAATTTAAAAAAAAAATAAAGTTGCCGAAAGCCAAGCTAGAGAGAAGGAATTTTTTGTTTTCTATATTTTCAACTACGAGTGATGTTTTATGTCGTCTCGCGTGTGAAGCTTTTTTTAACAATACGTATATACTCTAATTGTTAAGAAAAAAATGTTTTTTACTTTAAAATAAACTACAAACTTAAAATACTTTGTGATATATATTTTAATAAATAAATTTATGAAAAAAAATTTTCATTTACATGACCCATATATAAACCATGATCGCGAAGGATTTTATGTTGATATCTTAAATCTTTTTGCGTGTAATTGACCTGTGTCTGTTTATCTTTTTTAAACTTTTCGCAGTTTGAGCATATTTTATGACATTCTTTACAATTGCAGCTAGACGTTTGATTGTTATTAGAACTGTTATTTTCCAAATACTGCATATTCTGGGACTTTAATGACTCTTCTTCCTTCTAAATTAAGTGATAAACATTTTTACTGTAATATATTCAGTTATAATCCAGTTGAGAGTTATTAAGCCATTGCATTGAAAAAAAAAACACATCAAGCGTTAAAAAAAGTTACTTTTAAGAAAAATTATATTTAAATTTTGTTAAATTTTGTTAAATGAATCGAACAACTCTAATTGTAGCATATATTTACAAGCTTTTTACAGCCCATATGGACGTAAACCTATTTTTATTTTTACTTTTGGTGGTAAAGAAAGATAACTTTTACTATAATTATTATTGTTATTATTGCTATTATTTTTATTGTTATTATTATTATTATTATTATTATTATTAAACATCTAACTATTTTAATACTTTCTTTGTTCTTAAAACTCCAATCACCGTTTGTTTTTTTTGTTTTTTTGACTACGATCTTTACCTATGTTACCTAAACAACTGTGACATATCTCCACACCAAGATAACAGATTTACGTCCCCGACTCTGCAACTATTGCAACATACCTTTTTAAGCTCTATTCTCATTAAAGCAGCGTTTTTTCGATCAATAACACGTTGTCTTCTTAAAGCTTCAAGATGATAAGCAGCCATAAATTTTTTTAGACAAGAAGCAGACTTGCTAATAAAAAAGATTATTTTATCTATGACGTCAAATTAATAGTATATATTTTTATTTACATATATTTAAAAATAACTCGATAATGTTTATTTTTATTAGGTCTCCTAATTTTTTTATTTTTTCATTTTTAAATAACTTATTTTACAATAAATTACAATAAACCATTTAAAAATATAAAAAAAATCTACCAAAAATGTCAAGTATAAAAATATGTTATATATCTGTGAATTGTGTATATATATATATATATATATATATATATATATATATATATATATATATATATATATATATATATATATATATATATATATATATATATATATATATATATATATATATATATATATATATATATATATATATATATATATATATATATATATATATATATATATATATATATATATATATATATATATATATATATATATATATATATATATATATATATATATATATATATATATATATATATATATATATATATATATAGAGCCGGCGCGAGTAGGTGTCACGTGGGGGGGGGGTGTCATAAAAACTTTTGCCTAAAAAAAAAAAGAAAGGTCCTCGTTTTCGATAATTTGGCGACTACCATGACGATATATTTGCCGACTGTCTAGATTTCCGACTAACCTATATCGAAAGGGTCGACATTTGCTGACTAACTAGTGTAAAAGGGTCCCATTTGCCGATTAAAAATCATTGATGACCCCCCCCCCCCCCCGCGCGCGTTCTTCCTATCGCGCCGGCCTTGTATATATATATAGCTTTCGGATGAGCCTACTGATGGAGAAACAAGTTTTCGAAGATAAAAATTAGATAAGTGTTTTTACTAATATATATATATATATATATATATATATTTATATATATATATATATATATATATATATATATATATATATATATATATATATATATATATATATATTTTAATATAAAATTTTTAAGAAAATTTTTTAATATAAAATTTTCTTAAGTTTGTTAATATTATATACTTATTGCGTCCACAACTAAAAATAATTCTATTCGTGTTTTCGAACTTTTAATAAAACATGTTTCTTATTGAGAAGTAAGTTGGTACTAAAAGTTTGTTTCCAAACTGATAAGGTAAGTTTTTTATTTAATATTTTCTTAGAATCAATGGTTCCATAATTTTTATCTGTTTTTTGTTTTGTTTTTTTTTTTGTCATTCCAAAAGTTTAAATCTGTATTTGAAATTAAGTCAGAAACAGTGGTCAGTCAGTAGAACAATAATTAAATTGATTAATTCATAAAGTTTAAACAGAGTCAATAAAAAGTGAGTGTGAAAATATTGCTCATGATTGGAATTAGGTAACTTGATGGAATGAAACTTATCAGGTTGTAACAATTTTTATTTATAATGTATAAAATGTTTTTTTAGTTTCAGTAAAAAAACTTTAGGCAAAACTTTAGGTCCTGATTGATTAGATAAATTATTAGCCTGATTGATTGGATAAATATTAGCTTGATTTGAGAAAAAAAAAACCACAGTATTTTTCAATAAATATTTTTTAATGAGATTCTAATGGTATAGTTAGACTTCTGTGCAACTGGAATACAAGAATATAAGACGTATATTTTGTCGAATAAAGCATATTCTGTGCACATGTCAATGCAAAAGCAGACTTCACATGACCATATAATCAAGAAACGCATTGGAGTTTGTCTTCTGATGAATCCACCGATTGGAGTTTGTCTTCTGATGAATCCACCCATTGGAGTTTGTCTTATGATGAATCCACCCATTGGAGTTTGTCTTCTGATGAATCCACTAGTAAACCCGTTTACTAGTGCTTGTTCCTGTTGCTTTGTAAACACTGTTTTTCCTCCCACAGAGCTTGTTTATCGACGTCCATTTATCTTATCTTATAGTATTAATCTCGATACTCCAAATGTTTTTGCTGCCATTAATATTTTACCGTCTTACTTTAACAGCTTGACTAATGCTTAAACTAATACTTTACCGTCTTACTTTAACAATCTTAGGCTTGTCAATCTTAGGCTTGTCAATCAGCAATGGTGAGCATTTAATGATAAGAAATGCGAATATAAGAAATGCATTCAATTGAAACAAATGACATTTTTAAATACAAAATTTTAGGAGAATTTTAGAAAACTATTATTAAGTTAAATTATAAAGTACTTTAGTTTTAAATGTGTATCTAAAAACTATTGATTTATTATATCTTCAAAATATTTCTAATAAATTTATCATATGATAATTCCTGCTATATGTCCAATGATTTTATAAAATTGGTTATATAATAATAAATATTAATATTAAATATTGTTTAGAAAACAAAAATATTTATATAATATATATTTTTTTAACTGTGGGACTATTCTATCATTCTGTGGCGAAATCACCCCACAATATTCTACTTGGACAAAAACCTATTTAAAAAATATACCACAAACGCCAGATAAATAGTTTTAACAAATTTATGAAGCTCTCACCTTAGCATTTATTCTCAAATGTAGTTTCAATTAACTTTATAAAACTAATAAGAGTCATAAAATGAACATAAGTGACACGATAATATCAATTAACAACATTAAACAGGAAATCTCATTTAAAATTTACAACAAACCATCAAAATAGGTGGCAACTATGATCATCAAAATAGGTGGCAACTATGATCATCAAAATAGGTGGCAACTATGATCATCAAAATAGGTGGCAACTATGATCATCAAAACAGGTGGCAACTTTGATCATCAAAATAGGTGGCAACTATGATCATCAAAACAGGTGGCAACTATGATCATCAAAATAGGTGGCAACTATGATCAATAGTTATAAGGTTTTAATTTTTAAATAATAAATATTTTGCATCATCTTAAAATAGAGTTATGCCAGAATAACATTTTTTTCTTGAAATATTAATAGTGGCGAAATCGCCCCGGTCTACCCTTTTCACACAGACTTAAAAGTAAATTACCATTAAATTCTAACATAACTTTTGCAAAAAAATTTTCCTTTTTAAAATAAATCTACATAAATCAACGTTAATCTTTTTCTGCTAAAATAACAAAATATTTACAATTTTATGCTAAACTTAAACAAGTAAAACGTTTTTTACGATATCATTGAACCTCCGTTTCTGCGTATTTACAATCTGTCTCGCAAAGTATGGGATTTTTCCTGACCATTAAAAGTTAGCAAAATTTGTTTCTTTATTTAAAAGCGGGTTTCATTGCTTCTAAGACTAATTTTTATTTTATCGTGTTTTTCAAAAATATTAAAACGCTTATTGCACAATAGGTTCCACAACTATCAAGTAAACCATCTTTTTTCATATATTAATCAAAATGGTTTTCAAAAACACCATTCAACAGAATACTTTACACTTAAACTTGTAAACGAAATTTTAAATGAATTTATTAAAAATAAATACACTTCAGGGGTGTAACTTGATCTTTCGAAAGCGTTCGACATAGTTGACCACGAGGTTCTTCTTTATAAATTAGATAATTATGGAATAAGAAACAGCAACTTAAAATAGTCTTGCTGTTACCTTAATAGTCGGACACAAGCATTATTCTAAAACAGTACTATTACACGAGTGGGAAGTATTCCTTGCGGGATTTCTAAAGATCAATTCTTTGGTTGTTGCTTTTTCTTGTTTATTTTAATGATATCTAATTATCCTCCATTATACTTTATTTATTTTTAGAAAAGAACTTTTCTCTTTTTACAAAATATACAAACTTTTTTTACTGATGATACCTAAGCATATTTTAGCCATATAAACATCAACCAAATGTTTAATACATTTAATCAAAATCTTGCCAATGAATGAATGGCTTAAGACCAACAAGTTTTTTGTTATGTCGAAAAAGGCAAGTACACACAATTATTCAAATCAGACAATCTCCTCTTAAAACTTCAAATCAGACAACCTTCTCTTAAAACTTCAAATCAAAAAACCTTCCTTTAAAACTTCAGATCAGACAACCTTCCCTTGAAGTTTTATGGCATAATTATTATTTTTACTAAACTTAAAAGGGTCAGTTAAATTTATAGGAATAATTATTTTACATATTATTTGGCAAAATCATATCAAAATAGTGGAAACCTAAATTTTGTTTTGCCTTACCTATAAAACTAAACACCTTATGATTGCAATTTGTTAAAAAAAAAATTAGTTTGGGCGAGTCAATCAAAACTAAATGCAATCTACAGAAACCAAAACAAGCCGCCCCTCTCTTAAATACTAATAAATATACTAGTGCCAGATCTCTACTAAATGAACTTGGTGATGTCAACGAAATAAATATTTTTATTATACTACTTTTTCTCTTTAAGTTAAAGAATGTCATGCTATCATAAAATAACCAACTTATTTCTATAATATGCAAATACAAAGTTAACTACTCAAAGAAGTATGTCCTACTTTGATGACTTTCGGCCCATATTCAGGCCAAGCTGATCGTGTTTAGATTTTTACACCAACGTATCGTTAGTGTCTTACGTATTATCTACTAAAAAATCAATCAGCTTGGCTACATAGTTGATAATTTTAGTTGAACTTTTAAATTAGAACTTTAGTTTTTTATTATTAAATTGATTATTTTTACAAAAATGTTGCGTCAAGTTAACATATTTGCAATACTTTTTTCAATTACTTTTTTGAAAAAAAAATAAAACTCAAACAATTTCTTAAATTTTGAAGAGGGGTGAAGAGGGTTTAAAATTATTTTTTACCTGTAAAGTGTAGTTTTATGTTGTTTTTAAACATCCTTGTTGGTTTTTTTTTTTAAAATAGGGCCAAAAATGTATGTAAGTTGGAAATAACTCCTTTGTTATATATATATAAGTTGGACTTATGTATTATATATAACATATTATATTATATGTGTTGTCTATGATATTATTTTATTATATTGACGCAATATATAGATGTTATATATAGAAACATTTAATTAATAGTAATAATAACAGATTGTTGTATTTTATGATTATGTTTAAA